CACTGTAATCGGTATAAACAGAGACACAGTTATACTCAGAGGACCTGACTTAAGAGGCAGATGTGATTGGCTGTCAGGGTTGGTCATGTGATCCATCATGGTCTTCACCACCTCGTCTGCAGATGCAACCTGATTAACAGGATAAATGAATAAGACAAATACATGAAAATATGAACAGAAAAAGGGTAATTACTAAATATTTATAGAGGATTTAGGTTGGTACTGGCTCAGTCTGAATCACCTTTGACCTTTTAATTCCAGCTTCACCGTGGATTCCTGAGGAAGATGGAAAACAAATGTCATCTTCAGTGCTATAATGCTAAATTCTATCCACTTTCATTGTATTTTGGGGAAATTACACCTTAAACCTAAACTATGCAAATACAGGTTAAAAATGGATTTGTGTCTTTTGAGTGAACTGACCCTTTAAACACACTTTTAGTTCATAAATTACTGTTTTGATGCTCTATAACCAATTTCAAAATTATTAGTAATCCATTAAAGAAGTAGAGCAACAGGCCACTAGAGGGTGCTATTCACTCGTTGACACAAAAACATCAATTTCCACGTCATGCCCAGCAGAATAAACTTGCCTCAGTTTGCAAATTAATACAGAGAAGCAAAAGATGCCAGATATTTACCCTCAGCTACTTATTTCTAATACTTTTTTATCAAATCAGGAATGTAGATCTAGTTCAGAAAAACGTATATCTACAATCCTCAATCTGTCCTCTCTCTCTTTCCAGCTTCTCTCTTTCTTCATCGTCCCTCACCCAGTCCCAGCTCCATGTCTCCCGGTGGTAGCTCGAAAGAGGGCAGGCAGCCTGGGACACTGCACGGAGACAGACTCACCCCCAGCGTACCTGCAATACACACACCAAAAACACAGTTTATCACGAAGAGTATCGCAGCGTTTCTACCGAGTTCAAGTGGGTGAAAAAGTCCGACTCACCAATCCCCTTCAAGACCTCTGTCACCTTGGAAACAATCTGGTCCAATGAGCAGCCTTCCTCTGCTAAAGCACCTGCCAGCTGACAGAAAGTGTCTATTATCTTTTAAAGGCAGGTATCAAGAGGTGCAACAGGCAACTTTTTCATAAATAAAACAATATCTGGGTTGTTGAGTGCATGAGAGCATGAAAGGAAGTGTAGGATAAACTATAAATTGCTGGAGTACTCCTTTAAAATGTATCATTTTTACTATTAAATAATCCTATAAAATGTTTTAAGATGCATTTTATATAAAAACAAAAACTTATTTCACTCTTTAAGTATGGAAATGTGAACCCTTGATATATTGAAATTTAGTATTCATTCACATTTATTAATCTGAATTTTTTTTATTTCTCAGCTTGACTTATAAAACTTTAATAAAAACATCTGTAGTCTAGACCTACGCTTAACTATAGAAACTGCTCCCATGAGGTGACAAAACTGGACCCTCACAAGAAGAAAGTGAAAGAAGAAGATGTCTGAGCAAAGTCCATTTTGCAGAGAAAGACAGTGACATGAGGCTGAAAGCTCTGGAAAATACAGGTACATTAAATGGACCTGAAGTTAAGATTTGTTTTTCTCACGCTACTACTTATTTCCAAGGTGAAGAACGAAGATTCACGCTCAGAATTGCTGTTGTTTACCTTGTGTATGAAGATGGTGCCACACAAGCCTCTCCTCCCGGCCTTACTGGGCTGGTCGAAGGCGCAGTCCTCGGCCACAATCACCATGTCAACAGCGACGCCGTGGTTACGGGCCTGCTCAGCAGCCAGTCCGAAGTTGAGGCGGTCGCCGGTGTAGTTCTTCACAATGAGGAGAACTCCAGAGGCTCCTGTGGAGGGAGGAGGGTTCGACGTCTTCAGTTAATTGCCATTTAATTTAATTATTTCTAAAATTAACATTCACAGTGGTGGCTTAAACTTCTTTTAACACAATAAGTCTTTTCCATTCAAGATGTTTTTTTGGCAATGATGATTCCCTTTATGGCACTGCACACATCTTTAATAAATAGAACAGACAGAATCAGGGGGAAACCCTGGAGTACATTACCGGCACTGTGCAAAGACAGAATGGCAGCCAGGACGCTGGCAGGAGGCGGAGACGCAAACACTCCACCTGCCACAGCTGCTGACAGCATCCCTGCACCAACATAACCTGGAGACACACAGAAGGGGAGGAGGGGGAGTAACATGTGAGAGATAAAAGCTGAGAGAACTAGAAAAAAAAAAGGTCCTATTTTAAAATGTAAAAGCCCCTACCGCCGTGTGCCGGCTCGTGTCCCGACCCCCCTCCAGACAGCAGAGCCACTTTGCCCCTCAGGTTGTCCGGGTCAGAGCGGAGCACAACCCTGTGGCCCTTCAGCAGAGACAGGCCCCCGCTGGCCCTCACGAGGCCGCAGAGGGCCTCGTCCACACAGCTGTCCGCTGAGTTGATCAACTTCTTTTTGGGCTGAGAGAGAAAATATTGAACGTACGTACAAAATGTAGAGTAAGCACACAAAATATGATGAGCTGTTATAGTTTAAAGTAGCACGTATGTCCAAACGATGCTTATTAATAATAGGACGATAATAACATAAAAGTACTTTTCACACACATACCGTAAAACTTCTAATAATAGCCCGGGCGTTTATTTGCTTAAATCACTGAACTCCCCCATGCCTTTATTTGGGACAGGCCTCTATTTGGGACGGGCCTTTAATTCCTTTAGCACAAAACTAAACTAAACTAACTGCTGCTTCTCTTGAGTTTTGTTCAGCAAATTTGACAACTAACATGATTATTATGATGCTTCAGAGATTTTTTTCCGTCTCTCTTGTTTACCGTGTTACCGGTAAGTCGGAATGAATTAACGTTTTACTTTGAAAGATTGAATTGTGGAGAATCTATAAGTGATTTAATGATGTTCATTATGTACATACTGACAGAAGTTTAAACATTTATATTTGTGTAGGAGATCACAACGACTTAAAACTCGCTCAAGCAGGCGACCTGGTTGGGTTTTAAGAGGTTTTTATACATCGAGATCATTTCTATAAAATCCAGACCAGGCCTCTATTGGAGACCTGCGCCTATTAGGGACCCTGCTTTTATTGGAAGTTTTATGGTATGCACACTACTACATAAACCTACATCTTCTTTGAGTGTGTGTGTGTGTGTGTAAGAATGAGGGCAGACACACACACACACACACACACACACAGTAAAATCCAAGTTTACAGAAGCTGCACAATAAAGATGTATGTGCAACAACAACACAGTATAACAAATGGGCTCTACAGCCTTCCCTTCAGTTCCGTCACACTGCAGTGGACTCTGATCCTTTTAGAATAACAAGTGTGCAATGCTACCTCCAGCAGGCTAACAAACCACTGCTGCCTTCCTCCATGTGTGTGCACAGATCCACAGTCAGGAATCGGTCTCACTGCTCAGTGCAATCTCTTCACTGTTCAACCACATCCTTTAAACTTTAGTGTTTACCTCCATTTGGACTCGTCTTGCTTCTTTCCCCTCCTTCCGACAGCAGGTTGAACCAGAGGAGTTAAATCAACCACATTCTGCAAGAATAACACCGGATGTAATTTGCCTACAAAATAAAAGCATGATTTACCAACTAGGGTAACTGCCTACTCGAGCGTGGGTGCACAACTACAGTGGCCATTGTAAAATACAATAAAGTGATTATTATTATTAATCATTATGTTTAATAAGCACGGAACTATAATTTGACGTTTTATCATTAGCTGAAACTGAGGTCCTTTATGTAGTATTGATTTTATTTTGAAAACATTGAGAGGAAGTCTTGCATAATTTTTTACAGTAGAAGAAGGTGAGACTCCCAGTGGTCACTAATCTGATAAAATTGGACTAGATTTCAACTAATTGGAGAGGAAGTCATTGAGACTGTGTGTGTGTGTGTGTGTGTGTGTGTGTGTGTGTGTGTGTGTGTGTGTGTGTGTGTAGGTAATAAAATAATGTTTAATGGGAACATAATTTTGTTTATAGAAAACAAAGCTTGCTAAAGTAAAGTACAGTATGTGAGAAAACACATAAATAATAATCTTTATTTACTTTTTTAAAACTTAAATGATGAAATAAAAGAATAATAAATAATATTTTACGTTGGTGAACCCTCGGTCTTCCTCTCAGTGACCCCTGGAGGTCATCAGACCCTGCTTAGGAAACTAATGTCAGTAGGGATGTTAAATAGTGGGGCAAATGTTCCCATTTAAAATTTGTTTTGCCCTTTTAAAGACAATATTTTAATGAGATCTGACTGAATGACAGTCTGCCTGAGTTTGATTGGGAGTTTGACTCATAAACTACATCTTAAAACTGCCAATTAAATGTATCCCTCCAATGAATTCAGAAGAACAAGATTTAAATGTGATGTAAATAACACCTTTATAACACACATGTAGAAACAACAGAGCACCTGTTAAGCCTGTGGAGATCTATGCATGGTTGGCTACTTTTCAAATCCATAAATATAGATTTATTTTTCTATTAATCTATTAAAATTGGAGCAATTTTGGAAATTAAACAAATTAAATGTTTTGTTAAACATTTTAGAAATATTACATACATCAAATCCATAAATATAGATTTATTTTCCTATTATTCTATTAAAATTGTGCAATTATTTTCTCCAAATTTTGAAATATTTAACAAATTAAATTTCTTGTTAATCATGTTAGAAATATTACATAAGTTACATATATGTAGATTTTCCAGATAAATTCCAGTGTGACAGGCACTTAAAAATAATATTAAATAAATGTATTTATTTATATTATATTTAAATATTTAAAAACAAATATTTATTATATTATTACATTATTTATTATTATTTTATTATTTTATGTCATTGTGTGGACTAATATATAATAATAATTAATAAAAAAAAAAGAAAAGTTAAACTCCGCTCACTCGGGCTGCTTTGACAGACACATCGAACCAACCCTCGGGGTGACGCACACGGAGCCCGGCCAGTTGCGCTCGGCTCGGCTCGGCTCGGCTCGGCTCAGCTCGGCTCGGAACCGTCCGGAGCAACATGCAGGATGGCGAGTGTGGAGACAGCCGCCGAACACGAGCGAATCCTGCGGGAGATCGAGAGCACGGACACCAACTGTATCGGACCGACCCTCCGGTGAGTAAGTTCACCCTCCCCCGCCCCCCCCACCACCTCCAGCAACCGGCGGTTGTTCCCGGTTCGTCCTCCCGCCTCTTCCTCCCTCCCTTCCCCGGTGAAAGCAGCTGAAGTCACGGCGTCAACCGGCTGAGGGAGCGCGGCTAGCTGGAGGGACTAGCAGCTCCTCCTTAGACTCAAAACTTTAACGCTCCTGCGTCCATTATCGGACAGCTAGCCCCGGCTAACTTTAGCAAAACAAGGAGGTGGAGGAAAAGAAAGCTGGTGGGGGGGGGGGTCTGGTGCTTTAACCTGCACAGTGAGTCCCGACTGTCTGACTGCCCCCCCCCTTTTTTTTTTCTATTTTAGCTTTCTTTGCCAAAAGTTGGTCAACTTGTCCACAGGCATTTTTTTTTTAGCAACTTAGGCTAACGGCGGCTAACCTGAGCTAACTGATTGACATTCTGCTCACTGGTGTCAGAGCTTACAGCCGCAGCAGAGGTTTGTTTCTAGGTAGCTGAGCTGTCTGGTAGCTCCTCTGTTTTCATCCCTCAAGTTACAGTCAGCTTTTATATCTGGAGGAGTTTTTGGTGGCTAGTTATTGTCAGTGAGCCTGGCTATGTGGTTAGCAGACAGCCAGTATAGACACTTATATATATATATATATATATATATATATATATATATCTGAGTGTGTGCACAATGAATGAGACCTTCACACAGAAAGCCACTGGTTGATGCTGGATCATGTGTTTGAATGTTTATGAGTGCTGAGACTGTTGCTCAGTGATTTAGTGGAAGCAGCACTTACAGACTTCTCTGTTCGGGGTCAGCTCTATGTTCCCACAGCTCTATGTTCCCACAGCTCTATGTTCCCACAGCTCTATGTTCCCACAGCTCTATGTTCCCACAGCTCTATGTTCCCACAGCTCTATGTTCCCCCAGCTCTATGTTCCCACAGCTCTATGTTCCTACAGCTCTATGTTCCTCCAGCTCTATGTTCCCCCAGCTCTATGTTCCCCAGCTCTATGTTCCCCCAGCTCTATGTTCCCCCAGCTCTATGTTCCCACAGCTCTATGTTCCCACAGCTCTATGTTCCCACAGCTCTATGTTCCCCCAGCTCTATGTTCCCACAGCTCTATGTTCCCCAGCTCTATGTTCCCACAGCTCTATGTTCCTACAGCTCTATGTTCCCACAGCTCTATGTTCCCACAGCTCTATGTTCCCACAGCTCTATGTTCCTACAGCTCTATGTTCCCACAGCTCTATGTTCCCACAGCCCTATGTTCCCACAGCTCTATGTTCCCACAGCTCTATGTTCCCACAGCTCTATGTTCCCACAGCTCTATGTTTCTACAGCTCTATGTTCCCACAGCTCTATGTTCCCACAGCCCTATGTTCCCACAGCTCTATGTTCCCACAGCTCTATGTTCCCCCAGCTCTATGTTCCCCCAGCTCTATGTTCCCCCAGCTCTATGTTCCCCAGCTCTATGTTCCCCAGCTCTATGTTCCCCAGCTCTATGTTCCCACAGCTCTATGTTTCTACAGCTCTATGTTCCCACAGCTCTATGTTCCCCAGCTCTATGTTCCCACAGCTCTATGTTCCTACAGCTCTATGTTCCCCAGCTCTATGTCCCCAGCTCTATGTTCCCCAGCTCTATGTTTCTACAGCTCTTGTTCCCACAGCTCTATGTTCCCCAGCCCTATGTTCCCACAGCTCTATGTTCCCACAGCTCTATGTTCCCACAGCTCTATGTTCCCACAGCTCTATGTTTCTACAGCTCTATGTCCCACAGCTCTTGTTCCCACAGCCCATGTTCCCACAGCCTATGTTCCCACAGCCCTATGTTCCCACAGCCCTATGTTCCCACAGCCCTATGTTCCCAGAGACCTATGTTCCCACATTTCTAGGACATTTTCAAAATTAGGTCTTGTGTTCCTACATTGGGTTAGGGGTTAGGTTGGGTGTAATTGGCTACGAAATTGGGAGAAAGGGCGATAAAATGGGATACAAATTTATGAAAAAGGAAATTTGGGAACATTAGGCCTAATTCTGGAAAAAAAACCTTAGAAATTTGGGAACATATGGTCTAATTCTGGAAAAAAAACCTTTGAAATTTGGGAACATAGGGCCTAATTCTGGAAAAAATCTTAGAAATTTGGGAACATAGGGCCTAATTCTGGAAAAAAATCTTAGAAATTTGGGAACATAGGGCTGTGGGAACATAGGCACCCTCCCCTCTGTTCATTATGGTGTGTGTGCCAGGCAGTAACTCACTACTACTAGTAATAATATTACAGTAATAACATTAACCTTTGTTCCAGGGTTCCCATGCATCCTGGAAAACCTGGAAATGTAGTAGTTTGAGTAGTTTTCCAGTCATGGAAACACTTGGAAATTGATTAAAATGACCAAATATCCTTGGAAATAATATCTCAGATCACCAATGCAAACCTTTTGTGCGTATTTTGTTTAAAACTTAACTGTTGGTGTTTAAACTGACACATAAAAGGGTCATTGGGTCATATCCACACGCATACAGCATCAAATCTCTTGTTGCCGTGGTTGATGAACACATGCACGGTGGTGTTAATTGTACGTGCAATGAACACTTTAACTTTCTAGAAGAGGAGTTTTCTGTAAAATAAAATCAATTCTACTTGGTTTGAACTGTCAGTTTGCCAGAAACTGCAACTTATTAGACCGTTTGTAAGCAAGTGGTGTCCTGTATTGTCAAGAAAATGTCCTGGAAAATGTAGAAAAGAGTGGGAACGCTGTTGTTGGCACCCCTTACTAATTTGAAATCCAACAATCTAATAACATCCTTGGATTCATTCATTCTTGTAATCATAGAGCCTGAAAGATGGAGACACTTACATTCAGCAGCTGGAAAATATTCCCATTACTTTGGATTTTTAATCGTCGTGAGTCGGAATTTTCGGGGGAGAGAAAGGACACAATTCCCAAGTTTGGAGAAGCAGAAGAAGTCATCTAACTAGTAGGGTTGTACCCAGGCTACGTGCTTTCACATGGCATTAGCGTGATGATGCGGCATTACTTCAGCTGGGTTTGGACCTGAAATGGGTCACAGCCCTGATTCTGCTCAGCTTTCATGAGAAGAGCACTGTTATATGTATGCCAGACTCCCAGAATACAGAGAGGACGCAGTCTGGCTCTGTGTGCCTGCATGTCGTTCACAAATTACCTCTATTGCTGTTAAAGTTTCTTCCTCTCAGTTAGAAGCTGTGACCGTGGCCCGCTGTCTTTGAACCGCTTGTCCAAAGAGGAAGTAGGTAGTGAATGTACTGGGAAATGCAGCAGAGGAACTGGGCTATATAAGGCTTGTCTTCTAATTGTCCCTTCTGTGTTGATCATTTTCTCCAAATAGTGAGACCTATTAAACTTGTTATTCAGGCCAATGACTGTGCCCCGATGGGAGGTTGGAGAGCCCAGAGAAGTAAGTGTGTGTGTGTGTGTGTGTGTGTGTGTGTGTGTGTGTGTGTGTGTGTGTGTGTGTGTGTGTGTGTGTGTGTGTGTGTGTGTGAGAGAGAGTGAGTGTTTACCGCTCCGGCTGCTGCATGACTTGACAGCTTTGTGTGACACCTCTGGCTGCCACATTCTCCTCTCGAGTGTGCGTTCGTGTGCCACGGCGGGCTGACTCAGACGGCGAGAATATCATTCTCTGTGTGATGTTTCATCTCTTCCAGCTTCCCGGTTCTGTCTGACTGAGTCCCAGTTTTTTCCGCTTCAGCCGCTCGCACTCTTAAAACAATATAATAGTTCAGTCTATGTTTGGAGCTGTCAGCTACATCACGGGCTATATTTACCCCAGAGGGGAGTTTAAAAGGGAGATTTCTTTTATTTTGATAGGCAGATTTATCAGATGATGACAGATGAGACTAATAGAGACAATGTCCGTCCTCTGGTGCTGTTTTTATCCCTCATTATCCAAAGTTGACTTTAGATGTTTTTGTCCTGTTATTTTAAGCAGATAAAAGTGTTTGTGGGACTAGAAATGGCTCTGCTGGTTGCCTTTATCTTTGTTAGTTTGTCAGCGTGTGAAGGGAACGATGGGAAACAACAGAACAATAAATGACTTCCGGTGCCTTGATTAGTAGCTGGGAATTATGTGTCGCTAGATTGTTCTTCATATCGGCCGGTGGTAGCTCGTCATCAGTCAGTTTTTCCTGTTTCTGAAATAGTTTTTTCCCTGTTGATTGATCGGAATATATCTTTTTAATCATCAAAATGAAAACAAATACCTCAATGTCTGTTTTAAATGTAGAAAAAATAAGTTTTCCCAGCATTTATTTAGCTCTTATTAGCAAATGTTATGGTCTTTTACTTTATAAATGCCTGAAAAAACATTTTCTTGTAAGATTATTTCCTTTAGAGATTCAATTAATCGATTAGTCAGTCAACAGAAAACTAATTGGTAATAATAACTGATTGTAGAAGTCATTTTTATCCCTATTGTTCTCTAGTTCCAGCTCCTCAGATCTGAATATTTGCTGGTTTTCTAAATCTTCTTTGATTATAAAATGTGTACCTTTGGGTCTGGGCCTGCTGGTTGGACAACAGGTTGCTTAAGACATCACCCAGGCTCTGGGAAATCATTGTCATTTTACACTATTACTTACATTTTGTAGACCAAACGATTAATCAAGAAAATAATTTGCAGATTTATTGGTAATACTTTACTACTTTTAAGGATTATATACGTTTGCTTTATGTTGCCTTCCAAATTAGCAACAATATTACTACTATAGGGGTGCAATTATTCATAGAACTACAACTATTTTGCTTAATTTTGATATATTTTAGCCATATTTTCGAGCATAAGGATTCCACTGTCCAGGCTCCTCCAAACCGTCCTCTATAGTAACCTTCTCAGGACCAAGACTCTTCAAACGGCCAATTAAAAACAGGTTGGCAGTAAGAGCTGCTGGTGGTTTGTGTGTGTGTGTGTGTGTGTGTGTGTAAGTGTGTGTGTTGTCCTGCAGCAGCAGCAGCAGCAGTG